TTTTACAGATGAAAAAGGTGCTGTTATCAATGCCATTTTCCAGATGAAGAAACTGGGGTGAAGTTAAATATAACTTACCCAAAGTCACGCAACTGTTACGTGATAGAGTATTTGAACATGAGTTTTTGTCATTCCAAAGCCCATGCTTGTAATCACTATGCACTATAGTCACGATGCTGGGTGAATAGGCATTTGCTTTACCATATTTGTTTGATGTCTCTCCCTTGGTCCAGCCTCATGTAGGGCCGTGAGTCTCAGCAGTGGGCACACTCTTTGGAAAGGCTCTTGGATATGATGGCATTTACCAGCTCTAACCATTCAAGGAAACCCTTAGGGAATTAAAATCTCGTTCTACACATCTGTACCTATTTGAGGGAAGTCTGGACATAATGTGGATATTGAAGGAAATCTCCTTAGGAGTCTTGAGACCAGAAAGCAGATAGCTTTTTTGGTTCATAATTACCAAAGTGTTGCTTGTCATTCCCTCATCCTCCCAAGTGAAATTTAAGTTGCAGATAGTGATGTTTTATTGGAGATTTTTCCCAACTGGCAACCCTATTCCAGACCTCTTTATTTTGACCATTCTGGCTATATGAATTCTGTCTTCAGGAGATTTTCTCCTCTTAAGTTCTGTTTCTCTCACAAGTCAGAGTGATACAGTCACTGAGTGGCAACTGAAGAAAGAAGATAGTAAATGCAGAAGAAATCTCATGGACTGGGACCCCAAATCTTTTCCACCCTTGAAACATTTTTCATTATAGCAGAACCTATTCATTCATGGTAGATGTTAAGACCTTTCTGTTGAATCTACTAATGATTAATAATTCTAATTGACTAATTCCTGGGCTAGTGTCTCCGTCTTATGGCACATGGAATGATAACAGAATAATGCTTTAAAAAATGGGGTTGCTATGAATTGAGCAGCAGGGAAAAGGGCTTCTCTAGAGATACTTGCCTGCAGCTGTGGAGATCCTCCCTGTCAAAGAGCTAACTATGCTACTGGCAGAGGGCTATAAGTATACTAACAAGCCTATTGAGTCCTCCCTGCCTTTAGCAAAGAGAATGACCTTACAAAACAGAATTAGCAACAGGAAGAGGTAGTCTTGAAAATGAGTCTGAAATAATTAATAATGACCATATCAGTTCAAGTTGAAGTAGGCAGTCAATTGTGTAATACCTAGGCTAGTTTGCTCTGATTCTTTCCAAATGCATAGTGCTGACTTTTGTGTGACTTATACATATAAAACATTCTCTTGCTGGAAGGTTGATGCAGTGGTACTTTTTTTTTTTTTTCAACACTAAATAAAGTCTTAATAGAATGGCAGGGCACTCTTGATTGATCAAAAGGGGACATACTTAAATGCTTGAAATATATAGGTTCCAGAAAGCAGAATGTAATATAAGTAATGCAGTAAACACTAGATAGAGTCTAATCCTGGCTCTTTATTAGCCTTATTACCTTTGAGAAATTTACTTAACCTCTCTAGTTTATTTCCTCTGTAAAATGAGGGAGTTTAAGTAAATCTGTGTTTCCCAAACTCTGAACCTACCACAGATTACTAGAGATTAATTTAAGTGGCATATGAGACAATTTCAGACAATTTCCTGATAAAAGATTAAAATAAACATTGAAACGCATAGTTGAGAAAGTTACTTCTTTTTCAGTCTTTCTAATTATGTCAGGCAAATTCTCAATTTGATATCAAGATATCTTTAATAGTTCTTTAACACTGGATAATTGTTTGGGGGTAGAGATGGGTAGGGATAGGTACTGGGAATCCTCTATTCCTCAAGAGTTTTTTTTTTTTTTTTTAATTTAATTTTATTATGTTATGTTAGTCACCGTACAGTACATCATTAGTTTTTGATGTAGTGTTCCATGATTCATTGTTTGCGTTTAACACCCAGTGCTCCATTCAATACGTGGTGGGGGGTGGGAGGGATGGGGTATCTGGGTGATGGACATTGGGGAGGGTATGTGCTAAGGTGAGCACTGTGAATTGTGTAACACTGTTGAATCACAGTCCTCAAGAGTTTCTATAGAAGAGAAATGAATTCCATTCCTTCAAGGGGAAAGTACTGAAGTGCTTTTTTGCTTCTTTCTGTGTACCATTTCCCTTCCACTTGGAAGGAAAGTAGTATACAACTGGTGAGTTTAGGAGGAGGAACCAAACGTGTGAGGCACAGCCCTTTCTGGCTTCTCTCATGGTACAGCCCCCTCTCAGAAGGCATGCTCCTCCTCCTCCCCTGTGTAGTAGGCCATGGTTGACAAACTCTGCTTAGGGCTGGGTGGGAACTATTAGGAAACCCATAAGGCCAAAAATCCAAAATAAAGAACCACATTCTGTAGTTTATCCTTATAGTAATCAAGCTGATACTTTGATTGCAATTTTATTCTTCTCTGTTTCTCATTTGGTTTTAAACTCCTAGGAGATGTAAGGGAAAAAGCAGTTATACCCCTTTAACATCGCTTATAATCTTTTTAAATAGAAATCTGGCTTGGGCTCAGAACCCTTCACAGGGAATAGTATCTATATAGAATTTAATAATATGGTTTTGTTTTCAGTGAAGTTATTTAGTTGCCATCTTTAAAATAAATTCATGCAAGTTTTAAAATGAATTTTTAAAACATTAAACAGTACAGATAGTGCATAGATATGGTAAAAATTATAAAGTTCATACATAAATGACTAAAGTTTAGAAAACACTGAACAAAATTATCTCTAGGATCTGTTCCAGATTTAAATTCTTTTGAATATGTAGACCAGTGGAATAAAAAATGTTAGGTGGTAAACCAAGTTAAAAAAGGAACCTTCTTACATAACATATGTACTATGTTATTTTCATTTATTTTGAAATATATCATTATTGAGGAAGCTAAACTTTTATTTTTTATATAAATGAAAATGATAAATTCGTAATATTTTACTAGGCAGTTGAGTATTGATATCTTTTTGATAGCATGTTTTTTGGTGATGATATTTTGTTTTATTTTGTTTATTTTTCTTTCACTGAAAGCAGTTCTGGGAGAGGTTTTTGAACTAGAAATCTTGGAATGCAAGAACCATGTTATCATTGTATACTCTGCCTCATACAGTGTTTGGAATATAGCAGCGTTCAATAAATATTTGAACTGAATGAATGAATGAACAAAGAATCAACAAAAATTCTCTGTCTTGAAGGTATAGGCATAGTTTTCATTTATATCTGAAAGCTGTCAATAGGACTAGCTGTAAGAAAGCTGAGGCCTTGGAGCAATCAGAAAGGGTAATACTTCTATATAAGTTAAAGAGGGAGCTAGTTACACAGAGCATTTAGAATAACCTTGTTAGGAAGAAATCACAAAAGGAAGGTAGCCCTATTAATTTTGCTTTTGTTTATGGTCATATAGGAGAGGCTAGATTTTTTCCTTTCTTTCTCTCTTTTTTATAAAAAAACTGTTTTCCCTTCCTTTTTTTCTCTCTCATTCATGTACTACATCTCTTATCATGTCCATATCAGAGAAAGCACCCCAGTTTCCCTTGCCTTAGGGAGATTATTAGAGCTTAATTTAAAATGTAGCTCACTCTTTCCCCATACACTCTTAATTATAGTTTCTCATCTGATAGAGGTGCCCACCCCTTTCTTTCTTCCTTTCTTTCTTTCTTCCTTTTTTTTTTTTTTTTTTTGGTGCTCACCTCTTAACTGGCACCGTAGATGAACTGCAATACTGGTAAATTTTTTTATTGCCATTTATTCGTGCAACAAATGTCATGTTTCAAGGGCTTTGTTCTAAGAATACTGAAATGAATCTTACATATCAGAGAGAATATTAACCAGACATTTTTAATTTTTAGTTAGGCCAACTGACTTTCTAATAATCATGCAGTTGGTTTGAGTGATTACTTTCCCAGGTCATGTAATTTACCTTAAAACATTTTGCATATATGCAAAAAAAAAAAAAAAACAATTTGAGGACTGTGTTCCATTCTGGTAAATACATTTTAAATGTATTCTAGGTTTATTCTCTACAAATGCATTCTTTTTTTAATGGTCCAGTGATAAACTGTGATTCTAATTCATTATGCACAATGACAACATCTTAAGTGGAGTCATTTTGTATGTTCGGGTTCATATTTTCTGTTATTGAAATTTAAATCAGTACATTTATATTTGTGAAATTTCTGTGCCTGATGTCTTTGTGTCTTCTAGTTATTACTATGTGGTCTTCAATACATAAACTCTAAAGTCACTGGCTTATCCCATTTTGGGATGTTCATCTCATTGCCTTATAAAATTGATAGAACAGCAATAACATTAATGATATAGAAGTTGGTTCTGAAACTAATCATCATCTACAAAAATTAGTATCTAATCTCTGTTCTAACTTTAAATTAATATCCAGGTAAACAGTCAACATAGATTATATTATTATCATAACTGAAAATATAGATAATTTGGCCAAGAAAAAAGAAGACTTTAGAATTATCTGTGTTTTTTTTTCTTTAAAAGATATAACTGCTTGGTTTATAATTATAATCTTTAGGTATCTCTAGTATCATTGTGCTCTGTCATGAAAGTAATGCAAAAGCCATTGGCTATAATGACAATCTGGAAGTTTTGAGAACGCTTTATTGTCTAGTTCACAAACAATTAAAAAAACAGAACTTTGCCTCGCTGGCTGTGTTCACTAGCAATATGGTTATTCTCTGATTAGATACTTTGAGTGCTGGATACATCCTTATCTGGGATATGAGGTGTTGATATGGCAGCTATGTTATGACAGGAAAAAAAGAAAAATGGCATGGGCTTGAGAGGCAGACCAACCTAAATGTGCAATTTAGCTCTGTCACTTCTGTGCTAGTACCTTAGGCAAGTGACTTAACTGCCTCTGTAAAGTGAGAATTATAATACTGCTTTAGAGTTGCTCTGAGGATGAAAGCATCCAGAGTGAGTTCTTCTTAAATGGTAACTGTATGAGGAAAGCAGTATGGTGATGATACGTTTTGATATTCTCGCAGGTGAAGTAAAGGACAAAAATGTTCAGGTGGTTGAGCTCCCCATTGTAGACAGTCTTCATCCTCGTCCACCATATTTACCCCTGGCGGTACCAGAAGACCTTGCAGATCGGCTCGTACGAGTCCACGGTGATCCTGCAGTGTGGTGGGTGTCCCAGTTTGTCAAATACTTGATCCGCCCACAACCTTGGCTGGAAAAGGAAATAGAAGAGGCTACCAAGAAGCTTGGCTTCAAACATCCAGTTATTGGGTAAGAATCTGATATATTCCTCATAAAGTGATATGTAGTAGCAGAGATATGTATAGTTTATAATATACTGTAAACTTTATGATACACAGTTTAATTTGCAGAGCCCCACCCAAAAACAGATGTTCCAGAGTTTACCTTAGGTCACAGGGAGATCATTTTTCCCTTGTTCACTTAGAACAGCTGAGTCATCATACTTTGTTACCTTCATTCACTTATTTATTCATTCAACAAATATATTAAACCCATATTTCTGAAATTAAACCCTGTCTCCTGGGGAAGCTAGCAAAATTTTATTTTACTGAGAGTATTTTGGATGTTATACATGACTCCTGTCTTATCCTAACAAGGCCATGAGATGAAGCTGTCACATTTATAGCTTTTCTATTGTACTTTTTTTAGGCTTCATTAATTACCACTGGTGATTATTTTGCATTTTTTTGATGTTCTGTTTTCTTTTCTGTCCTGGAAGCTGTTTTTGAGAATAAGAGGACTATTTATAGTGTAAGATAATGTTAAAATTATTATTTAAAATTATCTCTTGGCCCACTTAGGAATTATCATGTCCATATGCAATGAGTCTCATGCTTATGTTCAGGGAGATGTATCAGGAAATCCTATGACCAAGAAGAATCCAAAGAAGCATCTTTGCTCATAAGTATGTGCTCCTGTACACATACATAAAAAAGTTATGGGAAGAGGAATTTTCCTGAGTCCCGGTGCCAGATTTCATACCTTGGGAAAATTTTCTTTGCCTAATGGAAAGAATACTGGACTGAGACTTAAATGACCTGGCCAGTATCCCTGGCTTTTTCCTAATTCTGGACCAAGTAACTTATTAATGGTATTGGGCTTTGATTTTTCCATCTGTAAAATAGGGAAAGTAATACCTGCCCTAAAAGTGATGATAAGGAGGATAAAAAGATTTTAGTTCAGTGGGGAAAAAAAAGTACTGTAAAATATTACTACCTTTCAGAGAAACTGATGCTAAAATAATTCCTGAAAATAAACTTGTAAGCTAGGCTGTGGCATTCTGTAGCTTATACTGTTTGTAATAAAGTCAGCTATTGAGTAATATTAATACATGTGTTGATTCATTCACTTATTTGCAGAACATTTATTGAATGCCTACTACTGCGAGGGACAGAGATTTTTTTTTCTTAATGGCTTCTTCTAGCTTATTATAGTCTATTGGAAAAGAGACATGCACAGCTAACATTATATGGGTAGAATGTGATAAATACCCTGAGAGGTATTTATGAGAGGTCAGGGAAGAAGAAATGTACTTCCATCTGTATCAGGAAAGTCTTCATAGATTCAGTGTTTGAACAGGATCTTGAAAGATAACAGTATAGTAATTAAATTACCAAAATACCTTCAACTACATTATGTCATTGATTCTATAACACAGTTCTGTGAAGTGGGCAGAGGTAATCATTTTACAGGTAAGGAAACTAAAGGAAAGAAAATTTCTGCCCAAAGTTCCAGAGTTAATAAAGGCAAAACCAGGACTTAGACCATCTTAACTTTGCTTGGAAGCTTTCCTGCAGACCAGAAAGCTACCCTAATTGTCCATGGACCATCCATCATATTAAGAGTTGGCCAAATACAGAAAATTGAAGTACCACAGATAATTATTTGTACATTGAGGTAGTGTGCTGTAATGAAAGAGAAGGACACTAGAATTCAAGAATCTGGGGGTACCATCTAACTTCTACCACTAACAAATTATGTGACTTTGGGCAATGTACTTGATCATTCTGGGTCTTCATTGATTGCCACTCTTTCCTTGTTTAAAACTGAAAAAAACTAAGTTAGATGGTATCTAAGGTTTCTATTTACATATTACTAAACAATTAGATTTTTATGTCCACCCAACATTCATTCATTTATTCATTGTATTTGGTGCTGTTGGAAATAAATAAAATCAGATTCCCCACCCCGAAAGAGCTTGATATCTAATACAGATGACCATTGAACAATGCAGGGTTAGGACTGCTCACCCCCCATGCAGTTGAAAATCCATGTATAACTTTTGACTCCTCCAAAACTTAACTACTAATAAATAGCCTGCTGTTGGCTGGAAGCCTTACCAATAACATAAATAGTCGATTAACACTTATTTTTTATGCTATATGTATTATATACTGTATTCTTACAATAAAGTAAGCTAGAGAAAAGAAGGTGTTATTAGAAAATCATAAGGAAGAGAAAATACATTTACAGTACCATACTATAAAAAGTCTGTGTACAAGTGGACCCACACCATTCACACCTACGTTGTTGAAGGGGCAGCTGTAGTGAAAAGCAAGTATACAACTTTTACTTTGGTGACAACTAGGTTGAAATGTATGTGAGAGAAACCAGCTTCCCTTTGCCTTATGTTTTCTTTATATGTCTTCATATTTTTCACTGATAATGTCTTCAGAAGCATCAGTTTCCTTAACTATCTGATGAAAGACTTACATTAAATTAAAATGACTTCTAATACCTTTCATAGGCCTAATATCCTGATTCTTCCATAAAGACCATCATGCTCCTCTCTCAAATTCTTGATACAGGCCTAATTTCAGGAGTACTTGGAGAATTGAGAATATTGATGAATAGTACTCTGCCACTACCTCAGATGCTCCTCTTCCTTTGATTCTTCCTCTGTTATTACAGCTCTTATTTGTTTTTATTTTCATTTTCATTTTCATATGTCCCACCCCACACCTCCCCTTGTCTTAGTCTTCATATGTATAGAAGTTACTGATCCCCATTTTATTTATTTTTAAAGATTCTATTTATTTGAAAGAGACTGCATGAGCGGGGAGGGAAGGGCAGAGGGAGAGGGAAAAGCAGACTCGACAAGGACCCTGGGATCATGACCTGAGCCACCCAGGCACCCCTGATCCCTATTTTTTTTTTTTTTAAAGATTTTATTTATTTATTTGAGAGAGCACAAGTAGGCAGAGCAGTAAGCAGGCAGGGGGAGTGGAGGGGGGAGAGGCAGGCTTCCCGCCAAGCGGGGAGCCCGATGCGGGGCTCGATCCCAGAACGCTGGGATCATGACCTGAGCCGAAGGCAGGCAGGCGCTTAACGACTGAGCCACCCAGGCGCCCCCCTGATCCCTATTTTAAATGGTAGAGCTAAAGAAAGTACATGGTGAAATTATGAGTAACAAATAGTGCTTCTTCTCATGAAGCTTTTCATTGAAATTCAGTGGAATTGTTCTTTCTGTCCCACTTCATCTCTATGGAGCACAGTGAACAATTCCAATTTCATGACAGAAGCAGTGATTAAGAAGGATGTGGGAAGGGGGGCGCGGAGCAAGATGGAGGAGTAGGAGACCTGGATTTCGTCTGGTCCCAGGAATTCAGCTGGATAGGGATCAAACCATTCTGAACACCTACAAACTC